CCTTCCTTCCTTCCTTCCTTCCTTCCTTCCTTCCTTCCTTCCTTCCTCCCTTCCTCCCTTCCCTCCCTCCCCCCAAAGGCTGTCTTTGAATTCTAAAGAACTTCTCTTAAGGACTTTTCCATCTTATATTGCAACAAGGGATCTGTGCAGGATTACCACCACCAAAGGTGTCAGAATAAGATGCTCTAAGTCAGCCTTGGTCACCTTTCCGGGAGAGATAATAAGATAATTAGATCTGGGCCATAGGCCAACTTATCCTCAGTGCTTCATAGAAAAAGGGCAGCTCTAGAGTACAAAGTTATGAAAGGATGGGAAACAGGATGGCATTACTTATCATGTACTGTGTGGAAAGCGTAGGCTTATGACAGTCTCGAATTCCAATCCCAACATCTGAATGGATCAGTCCACCAGGGAAGACTGAAGAACAGTTCCCACAGGCCAGCCCTTCATTTAACTCCCTTAATAATGTGGGAAAAAGAAGTCCACGGGCTGCATTAATTTGTGGGTTGGCTGGTATTGCCATCAATATTCTGGAACAAAGTTGTTGAAAGAAAATACAGCTATGGCTCTCTTGGAGGTTATGGGAGCCAACAACAGCATGCACTTCTGTAATATTTAAATGCATCTTTCTCTGACAAAGAGCCATTTCACAATGCCCATTGTGTTTTGGCCCTTTTGCTTATATTTCACTTGCAGCAGTTGCGTGTACGCATGTGTAACTCAGTGTAGTGTTAACATTAAAAATCCACTCAGTGGTAAAGTTAGACCCAAGTTGTTTTAGATATTTCATCCTACTTTAATTTGGCACACTTGTTTAGTTCTACTGTCTGGGAATTCTTAAAAATATAATCTGAACACATCTACAGAACATGTGGTTTGGGAAAGCTGAGCTAACTAACCCGGTCAGCTTAGTCCTTGCCAAGAATACAAGAGAAGGTAACCATCTTTACAGTTCTTCAGTCCACCCTTCTCTTCATCTGTACAAAAGTAGGGTGCAGCATCTATATTTAAAGCCGAGGATCCAGCAGAACTATGTCAGAAAAAGTCTTGAAGGAGCAATGGTCCAGGGAGCTTTAAATGCATGGCCCCCAAATGACAAAGTAAATCAGCATCAACATACAGCAGGAGCTGGTGTGAGATGCCTTAAGCTTCTCTGAGAATAAGCAGTCTGAGCAGATATACCTAGAAGGAATTTCTTTTAGTTCCCATTTCTCTAAAATTTGCGGGTATCTTTTCCTCTTATGTTTGTCTCATAAGTCAAGGGCGAGGCAGGCCCCCACCTTCCTGGCCTTCCAGAAAGATGTAAAAATATGACTCTGCAGCCTCTGCAGACCTTGGAGTTTTTCTAGTCCAACTCCCTGTCCATCAGTGATGGATTCAAAAATTTTTACTACCGGTTTTGTGGGCATGGCTTGGTGGGCATGGCAGAGGAAGGATACTGTAAAATCTCCCTTCCCTCCCCGCCCACTAACCTGCTTTCCAGCTCCGTTCTCCTGTGCAGGGCAACAAAAGAAGACCCAGCCACTCAGCTGGGACTCGGGAGGCAGAGAATAGATGGGGGCAGAGCCAGTCAGAGGTGGCATTTGCCGGTTCTCTGAACTACTCAAAATTTCCACTCCCGGTTCTCCAGAACTGGCCAGAACCTGCTGAATACCACCTCTGCTGTCCATGGCAGGAGACCTTATGTTATTCCAGACAAATAGTTGTCCAAACTTTTCTTGAAAACCTCCAGTGAAGGAGCACCCACCATTCATGGTGGCAAGTTGTTCCATTGGTTAATTGTTCTCACTTTCAGGAAGTTTCTCTTTTGTTCCAGGTTGGATCTCTCTTCAACGAGATTCCACCCATCGCCTTTTGTCCTACCTTCAGAACCTTTGGAGAATAAGTTGACCCTGACCTCTTTGTCGCAGCTCCTCATGTACTGAAAGACAGCTATCATATCACCCCCAATTCTTCTCTTTTAGTAGGCTAGACATACCTAGCTCCCTTAAATGTTCCTTGTAGGGTGCAGACTCCTCCTCATCTTTGTTGCTCTTCTCTGCACTCTTTCTAGGGTCTCGGCATCTTCTCTGTGTTTTAGTGATCAGAAATGGATGAAGCATTCCAAGTGTGGCCTCACCAATGCAGTATAAAGCAGTACTATTACTTCTCATAACCTTGAAACCAGCCCTCTGTTGATGCATCCAAAAGATGCATCAGCTTTCTTGGCACCTTGCTCACTCATACTTAAGTGGTGGTCCACTAGGACACCTGGATCCCACTCATAGTTAATATTGTTGAACCAGGCAGCAGTATTCTACACCATGCGTTTGGTTTTGCACAAGACTGCATGCTTACCTAGGAGCAGGCAGCTGTGGGGCTGGCTGGCCCCCTGAAAGACCTCCTCCCATCTTTTAATTAACTTTCACACTGATTTTTAATTCATCTTTGCCTTTTTAAATTTTACATTCTGTTTTGATGGTTTGATATTTTACCTGCACACCACCCAGAGTCCCTCGGTGAGGGAGAGGGTCGATTTAAAAATTGGATAAATAAATACAGCATATAGAGATAAATCTTCACAGGACTTGGATTAAAGCTTTGCCTTCGCATGACTTCCTAATGTTGCTGTCCAGTCCGCATGTACAGAGGCTGGGACAGAAGACCTTCTGGGTTAGGACTGCTCTGCTTCTGAATGACATGCTGCCCACTGCTCTCCTTCCACTCAGGCATGCAGGTGAATGAGACACTCTAGGAAAAGGGAGGAAGAACTCCTTGATAGTGCCTGCCAAGTGTGGACAAGGTGACTGTGACTTTCTTTGGAGGATTTACTTACCAAGAAGCAACAGCTTAACTGTCCTGGCATCCTTCTCGGCATCTTCCTTGAGCTTTTTTTCCAGCTCCCGAGAATGCTTTTCCTCCGCGCTTGCACCTGCACCCATCACCCCCAGTTGTTTTTTCCCCCCCTTCGGTCAGTGAAAGGGGATTCCCAGGAAAACCTGGGGAGGGGGCTCCAGTGCTTTCCTGTTTGGAGCTGCCTTCTTCTCTAGCCCAGCCTTAAGTCAAGGCAGATTCTTTCTTGTCTTGCTCTCTTGAGCGCCTTCCGTGCCTACTGTTGCTCCCTTCTTGAGCCAATACCAGCCACTTTCTGGCTTAGAGGGATTTGGCTGAACTGGGAATCAGGTGCTCTGAAGCACCCAATGTGGAGCAAGGGCAACTGAAGAAAGACCACGTAGGAGGTAGCCCCAAGGCCTTCCCAGGCTCAAATCTTGTGCTCAGTAGCTTAAAGGCCTTTCTGAGATAATGCTCCTTCAATCCCTGCACATGCTGAACTCAGCAGTTTCCATTTTTTGTCACCTGCTCTTGACCTGGACAAGCATCTGAAGAAGGAATCCTCCTTCCTCCAAGCTCTGCCTTTTCCTGCCAGACTAATTGCATGGGACGATGCACCAATGGGATCTGCTGCGGATGGTTCATGTGCTTTGATCTCACTCTGGCAATGGACAAATTATATTAATTATGGTTAATTAATTAAGGTTTAAAATATCAGATGGCTGACATTTCCTCCACCCGCAATGTCAAAAATAATAGCATGTCTTGGAAGAAAGATGTGGGGAGCAAGAAACATAGAAAGAAAAGCTGGATAACAAAGCTACTAATCTTATCGTATCCAGTGCCATCTGTTAAGTTTGAGCAATGAGAGGCTGAACCAGAGCATGAGTGCAACA